CCAGGTGTGGAGGCTTATACCTATAATCCCAGCACTTTGGGAGGTCAAGGTGAGAGGACTGCCTGAGCATATGGGTTTGAGACCAGCAAGGGTAACTTGGCAAGACCTCATCTCTACAGTAAATTAAAAAATTAGCTAGGTATGGTTGGTGGTGCATGCCTGTAGTTCCAGCTACATGGAAGGCTGAGGGGGAAGGATCGCCTGAACTCAGCAGGTCAAGGCTGTGGTGGCTGTGAATGTGCCACTGCACTCCAGCCTGGGTAACAGAGTGAGACTACAACTCAAAAAAAGAAAGAAAAGACTGAGACCACCAATGTTGTGAAGTAGGGAAATGGAAATTCTACATCGTTCGTGGGAACGTAAACAGCACAACCACTTTGGAAGAAAGTCTGACAGTTTCTTTTGAAACTAAACATATACCTACATCTTGACCCAGCAATTCCACTCCCATAAATTTACCCAAGAGAAATGAAAATGTATGCCCACAAAGTCTTGTACAAAAATATTCATAGAAACTTTATCAATACTAAGTCCATATTGGAAATTGTTCAGATGACTAGAAAAATGAATAAACAAATTGACATTTTCTTTGACAGAGCTGTGATAAATTTAAGGACTGAGGAGCTCCAAGTGATTTTATAGATATTATTTATTATTTATATTCTAAGTAGTTCTGAAGTGTAGAGTTGAGCAAGCATTATTATGTCCATTCCACAGACAGAAAAAACAGAGGCCAGGTGCAATGACTTATGCTTGTTGTAATCCCGGGACTTTGGAACACTGAGGTGGGAGTATTGCTTGAGCCCAGGAGTTTGAGAGCAGCCTAGGCAACACAGGGGAACTTCATCTTAACAACAACAACAACAACAAAAATTAGCCAGGCACGGTGGTGTGTTCTGGTAGTTCTAGTTATTTGCGATGCCGAGGCGGAATGATTGCTTGAGCCCAGGATTGAGGCTGCAGTGAGCCATGATTGCACCATTGCATTCAAGCTGGAGTACAAAGTGAGATTTTGACAATAAAGAAAGAGCAAGAGGGAGAGGGAGAGAGAGAGAAGGAGAGAGAGAGGGAGAAGGAGAGGGAGAAGGAGAGAGAGAGGGAGAAGGAGAGGGAAGAAAGCAGGAGGACAAAGAAATTAAGGAACTAATTTAAGATCACAAGGACACTATAAACACCTATAACAATATCTTGAGGCCGGGTACAGTGGCTCAAGGGTGTAATCCCAGCACTTTGGGAAGTGGAGGCAAGAGGATTACCTGAACTCAGGGGTTTGAGATCAGGCTGAGCAACATGGTGAGACCCTGTCTCTACAATAAATCAAAAAAATCATCTGGGCATGGTGGTGCATGCCTGTGGTTCCAGCTCCTTGGAAGGCTAAGGCGGAAACTCACCCTAGCCCAGCAGGTCAAGGCTGCAGTAGACGTGAGCATGCTACTGCACTCCAGCCTGGGTGACAGAGAGAGTGAGACTCTAATGATGATGATGATGATGATGATGATGATAATGTCTTGAGAACTTACTATGCCAATTTTATAAAACTTTTCTCAATTAATCCTCCCATAATCTTCATTTTATACAGGGGAAGTGCAAGGCTTATGAAAAACAGATAGCTTGGCCAAAATTGCAAAGTCCATCTTCCTAATATCTATCTTTTTACATAAACGAGGTCCAATTAGTCAATGGTTCTGTACATTTGTTCTGCCAAGACACATAGGATAGATGTTCACATTCCCATGAGTATAGCCAGAGTTATGCATAATTTTTGCCAACTATTTGTAATCCTATCATTTTTCTTTCTAAAAAGCACACTGGAATGAAAGTAAAAGTGATATCACAGGAATAACCTTGAATCTATTCCAATTTATATTCTACAAAAAGCAAATCATTTGCAAATTTTGGATTTCAAGTAAAGTTAGAAACAAAATTAGAAACTCTGCAGTGTTAAGACTGATAATCTCAGCCGGGCTCGGTGGCTCAGCCTGTAATCCCAGCACTTTGGGAGGCTGAGGTGAGTGGATTGCCTGAGCCCGCGGGTTCGAGACCCGCCT